GAAACTAGGAGCTGGTTCTTTGAAAGAATTGATAAGATCAATAAACCCCTAGCCAGACTTATCAAAAAGAAAAGAGAAAGCGGGGGTGGGGGGAGCCTGGGTGCCTCAGGCCATTAAGCATCTGACTCTTGGTTGCAGCTTGGTCACGATCTCAGGGACCTGGCATGGAGCCCTGCCTTGGGCTCCTTGTTCAGTGGGGAGTCTGCTTCTCCCTTCCTCTGCCCTCCCCACCCCACTCCTGCACATGCTTTCTCATGTGTACTGTTTCAAAATAAATAAAATCTTAAAAAAAAGAAAAGATCCAAATACATAGAATCATGAATGAAAGAGGAGAGATGATAACCCACACTGAAGAAATACAAACAATAATGAGAATATTATGAGCAATTATATGCCAACAAATCCAGCAATCTGGAAGAAATGGATGCATTCTTAGAAACATATAAACTACCAAAACTGAAATAGGAAGAAAGAGAAAACCTGAACAGACCCATAACCAGCAAGGAAACTGAAGCAGTAAGAAAAATCTCCCAACAAGCAAGAGTCCAGGCCTGGATGGCTTCCCAGAAGAATTCTACCAAACATTTAAAGAAGAATTAATACCTATTTTTCTGAAACTGTTTTAAAAAATAGAAATGGAAGGAAAACTTCCAAACTCTTTCTATGAGGCTAGCATTACCTTGATCCCAAAACCAGACAAAGACCCCACAAAGGACAATTACAAACCAATATCCCTGATGAACATGGATGCAAAAATTCTCACCAAGATACTAACTAATAGGATCCAACAGTACATTAAAGGGATTATTCACCACGACCAAGTGGGATTTATCCCTGGGCTGCAAGGGTGGTTCAACATCTGCAAATCAATGTGACACATCACATTAATAAAAGAAAGGACAAGAGCCATATACAAAAAGCCCACAGTGAATATAGTCCTCAATGAGGAAAAACTAAGAGTTTTTCCCCTAAGGTCAGGAACATGGCAGGGATGTCCACTCTCACCACTATTGTTCAACATAGTACTAGAAGTCCTAGTCTCAGCAATTAGACAACAAAAAGAAATAAAAGGCATCCAAATTGTCAAGGAAGAAGTCAAATTCTTTTCACAGATGACATGATACTGTATGTAGGAAACCTAAAAGACTCCACCCCAAAATTGCTAGCACTCATGCAGGAATTCAGCAAGATGGCAGGATATAAAATCAGTGCACAGAAATCAGTTGCATTTTTATACAATAACAATGAGACAGAAAAAAGAGAAATTAAGGAGTCAATCACATTTACAATTGCACCAAAACCCATAAGATACCTAGAAATAAACCTAACCAAAGAGGTAAAAGGATCTGTACTCTGAAAACTGTAGAACACTTATGAAAGAAATTGAGGAACACACAAAGAAATGGAAAAACATTCCATGCTTATGGATTGGAAGAACAAATATTGTTAAAATGTCTATGCTACCCAGAGCAATCTATACATTCAATGCAATCCCTATCAAAATACCATCAAAATTTTTCACAGAGCTGGAACAAACAATCCTAAAATTTGTATGGAACCAGAAAAGACCCAAATACCCAAGTACTTCTGAAAAAGAAAACCAAAGCTGGAGGCATTACAATTCTGAACTTCAAGCTCTATTACAAAGCTGTCATCAGCAAGACAGTATGGTACTGGCACAAAAACAGACACATAGATCAGTGGAACAGAATAGAGAGCCCAGAAATGGACCCTCAACTCTATGGTCAACTAATCTTCAACAAAGCAGGGAAGAATATCCAATGGAAAAAAGACAGTCTCTTCAACAAATGGTGTTGGGAAAATTGGACAGCCACATACAGAAGAATGAAACTGGACCATTTCCTCATACCACACACAAAAATAGACTCAAAATGGATGAAAGACCTAAATGTGAGACAGGAATCCATCAAAATCCTAGAGGAGAACACAGGCAGCAGCCTCTTTGACCTCAGCTGCAGCAACTTCTTGCTAGACACGTCTCCAAAGGCAAGGGAAACAAAAGCAAAAATGAACTATTGCGACTTCATCAAGATAAAAAGCTTCTGCACAGCAACAGAAACAGTCAACAAAACTAAAAGGCAACCTATGGAATGAGAGAAGATATTTGCAAATGATATATCAGATAAAGGGCTAGTATTAAAAAATCTATAATGAACTTACCAAATTCAACACCAAAAGAACAAAAAAACCAGTCAAGAAATGGGCAGAAGACATGAACGGACATTTCTCCAAAGAAGACATACAAATGGCCAACAGACACATGAAAAAGTGCTCAACATCACTCAGCAAACACAAATCAAATACAAATACAAATCAAAATCACAATGAGATACCACCTCACACGGGTCAGAATGGCTAAAATTAATAACTCAGGGAACAAAAGATGTTGGCAAGGATGTGGAAAAAGGGGAACTGTCTTACACTGTTGGTGGGAATGCAAGCTATTGCAGCCACTCTGAAAAACAGTGTGGAGGTTCTTCAAAAAGCTAAAAATAGAGCTACCTATGACCTGCAATTGCACTGCTAGGTATTTATCCAGAGGATACAAACAGTGATTCAAAGGGGCACATGCGCCCAAATGTTTATAGCAACAATGTCCACAATAGCCAAAGTATGGAAAGAGCCCAGCTGTCCATGGACAGATGAATGGATAAAGAGGATGTGATACATATATTCCATTCTGTATATATATGGAATATATCATATATATGATGGAATATAATGGAATATTACTCAGCCATCAAAAAGAATGAAATCTTGCCATTTGCAACAATGTGGTTGGAGCTAGAGTGTATTATACTAAGCAAAATAAGTCAGTCAGGGAAAGACAAATACCGTATGATTTCACTCATATGTGGAATTTAAGAAACAAAGTAGATAAACATAGGGGAAGGGAAGGAAACATAAAATAGGATGAAAACAGAGAGGGAGGCAAACCATAAAAGACTCTTAATCCTAGGAAACAAACTGAGGGTTGCTGGAGGGGAGGTGGGTGGGGGATGGGGTAACTGGGTGATGGGCATTAAGGAGGGCACTTGAAGTAATGAGCACTGGGTATTGTACGCAACTGATGAATCACTAAATTCTACTTCTGAAACCAACAATATAGTATATGTTAATTAAATTGAATTTAAGTACAAAATTTTTTTAAAAAGTATAAACTGTCAGTTATAAGACGAGTAAGTTCTGGAGACCTAACATACAACATGGTGACTATAGTTCACAATGTACTGTATATTTAAATTTGCTGAGACAGTAGATCTCAAGTTCTCATCACACACACGAAAAGTGGTAATTGTGTGAGGTGATTGATATTTTAATTAGCGTGGTTATGGTAATCATATCACAATGTATATATATACCAAAACATATACACCTTAAATATATGAAATTTTTATCAAGCATAGAGCAACTAAACTAGAAAGAATTGTTGGAAATATACTAAAAATAAAACCAAAACCAAACAGTGAATCACTTAAATGGTAACATGTGTAATTTACATTTTATTTTAACCTAAAAAGTATGCCTCCATTTGTTAGTCGTCTGAGTTAGGACCATGGCATTTTGGAGGGATCTGTTAATGGGAGTTCTGCAGAAATCACACCAATGATTTCTCATTTGTGTGTCCAGTTTGAATTTCTGTAGGTGAAGCAATATGAGTGCAAAATCCTACTAGGCTTTTTCTTTTTTTTAGATCCAAATGTTTACAGTTGTGTTATCCACACCTACTTTAACAACAAAAAAGTGCAATTTGCCATTTTAAGATTTTTCCAAAGCTTAGCTTTCATAAAAAGAACAATTTTATTTTAAACTCTTCTTCCATCATTTTACATTATTCAATACAATGAGCACAACCAGAATGAACAGGTCACAAAGGGAAAAGGGTTCCTTTGGCAAGAGATTCTATGCAGAGCTCCTGCCACAAGTCCATTTCCTTCCACCAAGCCTACCAGCTAACCTGCATGCACAGCCATCCCTTCCACCCTCCTTCCTGTCAAAACGATGGGGGCTCCTCTTCTTGTCCGAAGAGCCCTTCTAGGCTTACATCTGGTCTCCCAACACCTCAGATTCTTCAGTCTACATCCTATTTTCAACATCTCCCTCTTTTCTACCCATTTTCTGGGATCTCATCCACTCCTAGAGCTTCCCCACTATGTAATTGCTTATGATTTTTAAACCTGTGATTCCATCCTGATCTTTCTCTTTAGTTCCAGACCTTTATCTCCAAAAGCCTACTAATTAAATCCACCTATATATTCCAGAGGGACTTTAATCTCCACATTTCCAAAATGTAATTCATCACTTTGCCCTTCCTCCCCAATCAACTCTCCCTTCAGGGTCCCCTATTTTCCTATAGGGTATCAAGATTTACCCAGTTTCCAAACCAGAAACTTTTAAGGCATCACAGACTCATCCCTTACTCTATACATCTAATCAAACACATCATTTGATAAATATTTCTTGATCTGTATCAATTTGTCACAGGTTAGAATTTCTAATTTAGTAAATAAAAATACAGGACATCCAGTAAAATTTTAATTTCAGACAAATGATGAATAATTTTTTAGAGTAATTATAACCCCTACACTATTTGGGACATACTTTTACTAAAAAGTTATTTCCTGTTAATATGAAATTCAAATTTAACTGGGCATCCTATATTTTATCTGGCAATGCCATTATAGGTTTTCAATTCCAATTACTCATACCACCCTCAGTTTAAGATAAAAAATATATCAAACAAAAGCCACAACTGCAAAACTGATATTACAACACAAGCTATCTAGGCTCAATTTGTTATAATTAAAACTAGTTCATGCCCACAAGTTCCAAGATAAGTATTTTAACAGTAACTCCACAGTGACCCATGTGTCACAGTAAGATTGCTTACTGTTCCGGAACTGTTGTAGCATAGGCTGGCTGCCATAACAAAATGCCATAGACTAGGTGACTTAAACAACAGGAATTTACTGACTCACCATTCTAGAGGTTAGGAAATCCAAGATGGAGTTACCAGCATTGTCAATTTCTGGTGAGCACTCTCTTCTGGCTTGCAGACAGCTGCCCTATCCCTAAATACTCACACGTGATGAGAAAAGAGATCTTGCCAGCCCTCTGGTGCCTCTTCTTATAATGGCAATAATTCTATCATAAAGCCCCACCCTAATGACTTCATCTGAACTTAATTACCTCCCAAAAGCCCTACCTCCAAATACCATCACATTGAAGCTTAGGGCTCCAACATATGAATTTTGGGGGACACAATTCAGTTCATAAGACAGAAGCTTACCTAGTTTATAAATTGGACCTATCCCTGCCCAAATGTCAATTACTAACTTCCATCCACAAACTACTCATGACTAACCAGCATGCTAACCTCCCTGCTTTGAGACACTACTGGGATTCCATAAAGATGGTATATTCCCTTGCTCAACAGGGTTAATAAAATAAAATCTGATGTAGGGTCAAAACAGCACCATCACCTCTCTGCTTCCTAATGGTAAAGTAGTAGCCTCTTTCCCTCTCCCTACCTTTCTCCCTCTAATCTAATGGATCTCAAACATTAGCTACATCACAGTCACCTGGGAGAGCTTCTTAAAACCCAGATTGCTGGTCCCATTCTCATACCTGATTCAGTAAATGTAGGTTGGAGTTAGGGAATTTGCATTTCTAACAAGGTCCCAAGTGATACTGATGCTGCTGGTCCAAAGACCACATTTTGAGAAGCTCTGCCTTAAAGATCCTCTGTGTCTGATGTGGGGATTGAGCATTGGTATTTTTTTTAAGCTCTCAGGTGATTCTAACAAGCAACAGGGTCAAGAATATTGTCCTAAAGCATTTTCCATGCTATAGCCAGTATGCTTTTTGGAAAGCCTAAATCTGAGAAAGGAACTCATCAGTTGAAAACATTGACTGGCATCTCATTTGCCCTCAGCATTAGACATAGCTTCTTACCAAGTCTTACAGAGCCTGTATAATATGCTTCCATCTTACTTGTTTGCTGTTGCCTCTAGTCTTATGTCAGGCTAGCTCACCATTTCATGACATATAATCCAGGCTTACTGGATCAATGGCAGTTCCCTGAAGTTGATCTTGTTCTTTTTCTCCCTGAGTCTTTGCACGTTCTGTGTCTTTCCTGGGAAAGTTCTCATCAACACACCTCTTCACCTGGCTAACCTTTCCTTTCCCTTTAGATCTTTACAACTAAGAAGTGTGATCCATAGACCAGCAGTATCAGCCTCTCCTGGGCACCTGTTAGAAATGCAGAATCTCAGGCCTCGCTCCAAACCTACTGAATCAGAATCTACATTTTAACAAGATCCCAGAGTGATTCATTTTTACATTAAAATTTGAGAAGTACTGTTTTTTAAACTCCTGTAGATGTATTTTCTCTGGCTTGATGTTTCTGATCCCCCAACACTCTGGCAGGTGCCTCTCCTCTGCGCCTGCATGGTAGTCTTCGCTAGCACCTAACACACTGCACCTGCATGCCCCATCATCCACTGGCCTGTGAGCTCTCTCGTGGCAAGACTGTATGTTTACTTATCCTTGTATTCTCTACAGTAGCACAGGACCTGGCACATAACAGATGTTCAAAAATAGTTGTTGATTAAATAAAAGCTTTTTATTTAAAAGATTTATTTATTTACTTACTTACTTATAAGAGAAAGACAGAGAGAGTGGGGGGCAGGAGAGGGAGAGAGAGAATCTTGAGCAGGTTCTGTGCTGAGCAGGGAGCCGGATGCAGGGCTCGATATCAAGACCCTGAGATCAGGACACGAGCCAAAACCAAGAGTCAGACACTCAACCAACTGAACCACCCAGGTGCCCCTAAATTAAAGCAAGTAGAGAAAGCATTAGTGTTCCTAAGAGATTAGGACTTAAATTCTTGCTTTACCGCTTACTAGGTGTAGAATCTTGGACAAGTGACTCACCTTTTAGAACTTGCTAGTCACTGGTAAAATGAGAATCACATCAACTATCCTATAAAGTTGTTGTCAGGATTAACAATATAATACATATAAATCCAGAACACAATTCCTGCCACATCAGAATTGCACAGGAAGTGGGAGTGGTCTTTTCCCTTAGTTCACCCAAGTGGTCAGACTTGACTGAGCTTAGTAGAATACTACCCATTGATATAGAAAGACGGGCTATACTTGAGTGAAATGCCATTTTTCTTCCTGTTCTTTTCCCCACTGCATAAAAGCAAAAACAAGTCAGTAAAAGTGAGAATTGACCTGGAATCAATGTTCTTCTCTGCTTTGTGTCAGAAAGACAAAACCCAAACTTGGGCCACCAGACATGCTGGTCTTTAAGGACCTACATACGGGATCCCAGCCAGGTTCTGGGACCCCTGGGTTTAGTTATTTAACCCTCTCTCCCCATTTCTGTCCACCAATGTCCTAAAGAAAAGTAAATAAAGGAACTTTTTATAATGTGATTCAAGGTGGGGCAGCAAACAAATGACCTATAAGCAGAATACTGTGTTTTAGATATATTAGCTGGAGGTTAAAATTTGCCCTAAGAAAAGTCACCATCTTTTTGATAATCCACCCTGAGGCCACTCTTATAACCTGCTCCCTCATTCTCCAACCACATGATTCCAATCCCCTCGGTCTCTGGCTCTCAAGCTTTTTCTAATAGTTGAGCTAATAAGGACAGAGGGGTGAAATTATCAACACCAGAATCAAAGGGTTAAAAGGGCAGAGTGAATTAGAGGAGAAAGTGGATAAGAGGAGAAAGAGAAGGCAAGGAGGGAATACTTTTCATCTACCGAAGACTTGACAATACATTGGCCATAAGGCCACCCCCAATCTTGGCTGTGCTCTTGGTTTTGTATGGGTCAGAAAACTGTATGACCTGACCTGAAGTCACATTCTCCTGAAGTGTTGTGCTAGACTGGCTAACCTGAAGATGGTTTTGTTGTAAATCATGCCACCCCCACTTCCGCAAGAGCAGAATATAAAGCTAGAGTGACTAGATGAACCATAAATGTCTGAACAACGTTTCTTTCAACTGCTATATACAAACCAAATACTTTGCTAGGGTCTTGGCATAAACAACATTTGGATACACAAACATTTTATGTTTTAGTTATCTTTATCTGTGTAAGGGACAAAGTAATCCATCATCCACTGCATACTTTTGAAAAATTAATGGGTAGAAACAATTTCACGAGCTTTCTCAGCTACAAAAGCATCTCTGCAAAAAGTAAGTTATTGAAATTAATTATAAATAATATAGGGTGATGGTTAATTTTAGGTGTCATCTTGACTGGCTATGAGGTGCCCAGATAAAACGATATTTTTTTTAGATTTATTTATATTTTTATTTATTTGAGAGAGAGAGGACAAATGGTTGGGGGGGCAGAGGGAGAGAGAGAAGCAGACTCCCCGCTGTGCAGGGAGCACGATGCTGGGCTCAATCTCAGGACCCTGGGATCATAACCTGAGCTGAAGACAGATGCTCAACTGACTGAGCCACCCAGGTGCCCCTAGACATTTCCAAGTGTGTCTATGAAGTGTTTCTGGATGAGATTGATATTTGGATTTGTGGACTCAATAGATTTCCCCTTCCATTGTGTGTGGGCACCATCCAATCCATTGAGGACTGAAAGGAACAAAGGTGGAAGGAGGAATTAACCCCCTTTTTCTGCCTTTCTAAGCTGGACATTTCATCTCATCTTCTCCTACCCTTGGACTTGGATTTACACTGTTGGCTCCCCTGGTTCTCAGGTTTTTGGACTTAGACTGAATTACACTACAAGCTTTCCTGGGTCTCCAGCTTTGCACATGGCAGATCTTGGGTCTTCTCATCCCAAAATTTATTATGAGGAATTGGCTCATGTGATTGTGGAGGATGAGAAGACCCAAGACTGCCATCTACAAGCTGGAGACCCAGGAAAAAAGCCAGTGGCATGATTCAGTACACCAATAGGATAAAACATATATATCCTATTGTTTCTGTTTTCTCTGAAGAACTCTGACTTATAAGACAGGAAACCGCTTATCGAGATTGGATTAAAAGACTGACAGAAGAGAATAATGAGGCTCTTCTCCCTGCTTTGCCTTCCTGGAAACTTCCTGCACAGAAGAAATTTGATTTAAAATCTGTTGTGCCTTGATTGAGTTAAGTATAACTCTAGAGGATTTATGCAGACTTAGTTCTCATCTGCTTCCCTGAAGGGGGGAAATGTTAAAATCCCTGATATAAAGCCATCAAGTAATCCACCAGTGACACAAATATGTCTCACCCCCCCGCCCCCCACCCGTTGCACATTGTAATTCCTTTTCTCTGGCTAGGTACTTCTATTCCTCCCATAGTAGAACCACATTTTTTTTTTTAAAGATTTTATTTATTTATTTGACAGAGAGAGACACAGCGAGAGAGGGAACACAAGCAGGGGGAGTGGGAGAGGGAGAAGCAGGCTCCCCGCAGAGCAGGGAGCCCGATGCGGGGCTGGATCCCAGGACCCCAGGATCATGACCTGAGCCGAAGGCAGTCGCTTAACCAACTGAGCCACCCAGGCGCCCTAGAACCACATTTTTTAAGGAAAAAAATCAAAGAAGGCAATGGCCCAGTTGACTTAAATGCCTGACTGACTACCTGGGTCTCACATCTCTAGACAAGCCACTTCTACAGAATTTTTCAGGCCAGAGCAGCTGGCTCCATGCTTTGCTGCCTCTTCTCTCTCACTCACCTCTGTCTTTCCTTTTATTGGCCAGCTTTGGCTCCCGGCCGGCCCCTACTCCAACCAGAACAGCCTCTTAAGGCAATCTTATCAAATGCAGCGAGGAATGAATTATGTGGACCTCGTGCAGGGACACAGTGTTCATCCAGGGCTCAGCTCCGTTCCTTTTAGGATAGAAGTCTATGGAGGTCAGTGCCCCAGGCAGCCTCAGCCAGTGCTGTCCCGAGGGCCACTCAAGGCTGTTGAGCCTCTCTCTAGTGCTGGTTTAGGCCTTATGGCTTCCTTGAGTATGAGACAAGTACCCTATTTCTTCGGTGTTGGCCAACCCCACTCCACCC